AGACCCCATAGAAAATACCCATGACCTCTCCCTTTATTCATGAATAAAGTTGTGAGACTCCTCCATCTCCTTTTTAAACATAAACCTCTAATACTTATAAATTAATTTTCCTAACACAGGGAACAATTCCTGCCCAAAATCCCATCCATCCCTGCCCTCTGGCACTGGGAGCCATTCCCTGGCTCCTGTCCCTCCATCCCTTGTCCCCAGTCCCTTTAGGATTCTCTCTCTGGATCTTTCTCCTCTCCAGTGAGCACCCCAATCTCTCCCAGCCCTGTTCCCATCCCTCCCTGAGCTCCCCTCACTCTGGCACTCACCAACAGCCACTGCAGGAAGAACATTTTCCCTCAATTTGTGACATCCTAGCCACACTGGATATTTGGGAGAACATCTGAGCGGCTTTTGTTTTGAAATAAAAACATAAAAACTCACTCCTTGCAATTTGTAAGGAGACATGTGCGGCAGTTGCAGACACATCAACCTCCAGCTGACTGTGTTTGAATTATTAAATCAATATTTTATTCTTTTAGGAGGAAAAATATCACATCTGAGGGGAAAATTATTTTTAATACAAACAAAACACGGGCCTTGAAAGTCTCAGCCTACCATGCCTGCAATCAGAGCCTCCTCAGATGGAGAAAGTCTTTATTAAAAATGCTCTTTAAAGTTCAATATATTCTTGTTTTGCAGGCAGTGCCTGTTCCAAGCAGAAGCACAGCTTTGCTGTGATTCCAGGGAAAGGCTTTTCTCTTCAAAGGAAGAARAGGAGAAATGTATTAAAAATGTTTTTTTGTTTCATGGGGTAAAGCCTGATCTAAGAACTGACTGGTTTGGGTTGGAGGGACCCCAAATSCCACCCAGTGCCACCCCAGCCATGGCAGGGACACCTCCCACTGTCCCCAATGTCCAGCCTGGCCTTGGGCACTCAAAGGGATCCAGGGGCAGCCACAGCTTCTCTGGGAATGGTGATGGTTCATCCCCAAGCGATGCCATCAGCTCAAAACCACCAATGGCCAAACTGATTCCAAGAGGGGAAAGTGGAAAAATTCATTTAGAAAGGTTCAGATGAGCCCTTC